GGCGTCCGGGTCGGGCCCTGCTCTCCGGAGCCAGGCGTCCGGGTCGGGCCCTGCTCTCCGGAGCCCGGCGTCCCGGTCGGGCCCTGCTCTCCGGAGCCCGGCGTCCCGGTCGGGCCCTGCTCTCCGGAGCCCGGCGTCCCGGTCGGGCCCTACACTTCGCAGCCGTGCATCCGCACGAGGCCCTGCGCGCCGCCGCAGCCGTCGTACCACCCCACCAGGTCCTGCTCTTCGTAACCGCGCAACTAGGCCTGGCCGGGCCCTCCGCCGCCCCGCCGTCCCGCCAGGTCGGGCTCTCAGCAGTCCTGCCTCCCACCCAGCTCCTGTTCGCTGCAACGGTGCATGCTGTCGAGGCCTTGTTCTCCACTACCGTGCTACTGGGCCAAACCTTGCCCTCCGCGCCTCCCCTCCAGGCCTTACTCTCCGCAGCAGCCTCGCAGCCAGTCCAGGCCCTGTTCTCGGGAGTCACGCCTCCACGCTGGGCCCTGTCCTCCGGAGCCATGTTATCCAGCAAAGATCAGCAGTTCGCAGCCTCCCTCCTCCGCCAGGGCTGGCCGCCCAGAGCCCTTCTCCCCCAGGGTTCGCCTTAAGAAGGCCGGTCTTCCGGAGCAGCTCAAATTCACCTGAGCCTGAGGTCCTGTGCTTTGCCTCCCAGCCTGGTCCTGCCATCCACGCGAGTTCCTCACCATCCTCTCTTGGCGCGTTCTATTCTCTCTTCCCTAGGCGATATAGTGAGGGCTTCTTTTCATCCCCTGGGTCTCCTGGCCTGAACCCCTGCCCCTCCTCTGCTGGGTGTTCTGTCCTTACCTCCTGTTCGTACTCCCGTGGGTTTTGTGGTCTGGGCTCCATCTCCACCCCTAGCCCTGATAGCATTAGGCGTGCCTTGCTGCCAGCACTTGATGGCCTGAGGCCTGTCTCTCCAGGAGAGCAGGCTGAAATAGGGAGCACACCGTCCCCACCTACACCTCCTATGCTGTGACCCTCCTCATAAGACCCAATAAAGGAACCCGCATCCACCCACTGTCCTAAATGGGCTGCCTGCCCCGCAGTTACCTGTGAGGTTTCCAAGTTTTGTGAGCCAGCAACCAATGTCCTGAGTTTTGAAACTTCCTCTCCCCAAGGCTCCACCACCCAACACTTAACCTGCTGTTGGCCCTTGATTCCAGGGCCCCTTCTCCCTCAAAAGGGCCGGCCTGCCTTTGCCCCTGAGTTGAGATTCCCCTTTTCCAGGGTTGCCACTTACACAATGAATTTTTGATGAATAAAATTAAAATGTTGACTTCACTGTGTTTTATTTTCTAATGTACTGTGGGTTTTGATCGAGGTACAAAGGTTTTTAATTTTGTGTTACAGTTGAAGAATTAGAAAAATGTAATCAGTATAGTAGCTTTTCTTTTGAATGATAAGTGGAGTAAAATATTCTGTGAGTCATTTTGCCAAACTCTGAAGTGGGGGTCTGTCCAAGACGTTTTCACTAGGTACTGTATATGCTTATAGCATAAGTATTAGTACTGGGGTAAGACTAGGGAGCACCTTGATGGGGATTAAGAAGTGTAGTTGTTGTGATGAGCTCTGGGTGTTGTATGTAACTGTTGAATCACTAAATTGTCCACCTGAAACTAGTATTACACTGTATGTTAACTAACTGTAATTTGAATGAAAACTTAAAAAAAAAAGAATAGGGGGCAATTTAACCCAAGTTGGCTAGAGAAATGGACAGGTGGTGGCGATATTCTGGGTCAGGAAAGAGGCAGTGCATGGTCAGGTATGTAGGAGGAGGATAGAAGGCACTGCTGAAATCAAGAGTCATGAACAGGAAGGGGGAGCAGTTCTTCCTTTCTAGAGGAAGAAATTCATTGTGTGTTGGGAACTGGGGCTCCTGAAGGTGGGTCGGGGAGGGGGTGGACTTAGTTGGTGATTTAACGTTAATGACTGATAGGGGAATAGTAGAATGTTGGGTGAACATTGTGTTAATGATAATTCTATTATAAAAAATAATTGTTACCTAGTTTGTGAGCAGGTATTTGAACGTGTGTGTGTGTGTGTGTGTGTGTGTGTGTAGACATACTTGGAGAGAACTAGATGGACATACACCACACTATGAACCAGATGTATATCTGATTCTCTGAGTAACTGATGATGTGGTCTTCTATATTCTGTTTTCCACCTTGACCCTATGACTACTGTGATGGGACTCAACTGCTTTCAAAATGCTAAGTTTTGGAAGCATGGTAGGATATCACATTAAAACGAATGGAGTGTAAAATACATATAAACCAAAATAAAAGGAACCCTCTCTCCCTCCTTTCCCGTATTTCCCACAAGGTCTGTCCCAGAAGGTAAGTTTTGGTGTCATTTTTTTGTACACATTTCACTTTGTAGGGGATCCTATGTAGTCTCATGTCTTCAAATATCACCTTAAGCTTGTGAATCCCAAATTTGTGTATCTGTTACCATCTTTGTATACCAGCCACATATATCCAACTGTCTGTTGACCACTTGAGGTGTCTTAACAGGCATCTCAAACTTCAGTCATGAGAGCTGTTCATTAGAAATACAATGCTAGTTACCCATGTAATTTACAGTTTATTTAGAAAGTCATGGAAATAAGGCTAGTATTAACACTTGACTGTCAAATGACAAAACTAAATTTAGTAATGAGTTTGATGTCCTTTATTCAAGGGAAAACAATCCATAGGTTGGGTGAGTACAGTACCTCACAAGCAATAGAACACTCATCCTGAGGGTTTTTGAGCTAAAGCAGGTTTTATAGTGTTAGAACAGGCAATATGAAAACAGAGCATGATTGGCTAGGAGGTAAGGGATTTCCTCATAAGATTAGTAGGTCCAGGGCACCTGGGTGGCTTAGTCAGTTAAGCATCCGACTTTGTTTTAAATATTTGACAGAGATAGAGGGGGAGAGAGCGGGAATGGGAGGGGGAGAAGCAGGGTCCCTGCTGAGCAGGGAGCGCCTTGCGGTACTCGATCCTAGGACCCTGGGATCATGACCTGAGCCGAAGGCAGACGTTTAACCAACTGAGCCACCCAGGTGCCCCAAGCATCTTGCTCTTGATCTCACCTTACTCAGGTCTATCTCAGGATCCTGAGTTCAAGCCCTGTGTTGGGCTTCATAGAGCCCACTTAAAAAAAAAAAAAAGGAGCGGGTCCTATTGTCTAGGATAAGGTAAGCTAGCTAGAACTGAGTTGGAGGAGTTGTGATTCCTCGACAGGTGTTTCCCATAAGCGCAGGCTTAGGTTTAGATTTGTGATACCAGGCCACTGGGGCAGCCTCTATTTTGTGGGTCCCAGTATACAAATTAAATATCAACTGCAAGTTGCCTTTATGCATTACATGGCATGCAGATAGGATAACATGTAAAAATTATGCTTAGGTGTGCTAAGTACTGTTGTACGGTTTAGACCTACTCAGTCGGTAGAACATTAGTAAGCAGGTGTTCATTTTGTGCCCATTTTACAGGTGAGGAAATTGTGTAAAAGAACACATATAAAGGAAAAACAGTTGTAGACTGTCACAGCTCTTTGCTCATAAACTTTTGCAAGGTATAACTGCATGATCTGCACCTGCAAAGAGTACTACTGTTCTCTTTGTCTTTGCCAAGTGTAAAGGTGTTGGTTTCAACACATTGATCTGCTGTTTATGAGGAAAGTTTTTTTTGTATTGTGTAAAAATAGTCTAACCACTCAAACTTTGTATGGAAGGTGCAAAACTGGCTCAGCAAAATTAACTCGAAGGCACATGTGAAAATGATCATAGCAAGAGGTTATAATTTATTGTGCAGGGAAGGTTAATCCTCATGAATCAAGAGCAGCGCATTTAGAAAATAACAGCAAAATTACAGGTCTCTTCTTGGGAATTTCTGTGCCTTCTGTAGTATCACGGAAAGATGTAGCTTCCCTTTGTGTCCCTGTGTCTAAGTGTTCCTCCCAGAAACTGAACTGGGAAGAAGTGAGACTCATCTCAGGGTCCTGCATTACTCACAGCTGGGCTGAGCTTTTCCCTCAGGTTTCCATTATAATGAGGAATCAGGAAATATCAGAAAGATCTTCTGGAGACTTTCCTTGGAAGTTGTCTGCAGATCAACTACTATGCTGTATAGGGCTGGCTTCATGGCATGTGACCAGTGCAGTTCCACAGGCCCCTGCTTGGTTTAATGATGCGCTGTTGCCATCTTGACATTCTTAATGATTTGTCAACAAGGGGTATCACATTTTCATTTTTCACTGAACCTCACAAAATATGTAGCTTACCCTTCTACTGTATTTAGGAGATTTAAAAAAAAAATTCAGGAAGCAGAGCCCTGCAAACTGTAGCTGGTAACGGAATAAAAACATGACATTGTCCTAAGAATGAGCTCAAAGTACTGCAAACTACACTGGCACCAGGGCCAGATAAACCTGGGGTTGAAAACTGGCCCCATCCCTACCTTGCTAGGTGACCTTAAGCAAGTTACAGAATCTCTTCTCTGTAAATTAGAGATAATAGTATCTACCTCACAATCACTTCCTCTGAGAGGAGACTTTTCTAATCCTGCTAATTCTTCTAGCTGTGGCTAAATGGTTTTTGTCTCTGTCCCTAGAGCCCCCGTTACTTTCTCAGTGAAATAAACTGATGTTCAGTGTTACACAGACCGATCTGAACTCATAGGAAAAAGCAAGATGCAGAACAATGTTTTATATGCTATCATATAAAAAAATATTCACAAAGAAAAAAATTTGAACCCCAAGATTAATGGAATTGTTAAATACAGATAAGCTCCTTCACACACACAATGAAATGGCATTCTTGGGTATCCTGTGTCCTCTTTGGTCACTCATCCCCAGTACATCTGTTTGCAGCTTCATGTCTCTCCTTGGCATTTTCATGATACTCCCAAAAGACTAATTCTTCATATTAATCCCTTTCATGCAATGTCTGTTTCCGTGTCTGCCTACCACACTAGACCTTGATGCTGACTTATACCAATCCAGCATCCAGAACACTTCCTAAAGTGTAAAAATTAACTCTATACCAGGAAAATACTGAAAATGAATTTTAAAATACATAGGGGAAAAAAAGGCCCCTGACCGTGGCATTATATCTCCTTCATGCAACACCAGCTATATTGTACACTAAGACAGGTCTCCCACTTAACCCTGAGAACACCTCAGCCCAAACATATATGGAAATTATTTTAAGATAAATATGAAGAATTTCCCTTACAATTTTTGAAATGGCCAATTTTATTTTTAACATACTGTTCTTGAGAAAAAATCTATAAAATGTTAAAAAGTCTAGCTGTTGGGGTCAGATGTATCTGGTACATGATCATAATCCTAATCAAAACAATAATTCTATTTCTGAGCACTTACTATGTTCCAAACCCTGTTGGAAACATTCAACATGCACCATAGATTTTACCTTACAAAATACTAGGAGGCAGGTGTACTTACTGTGCCTAATTGACAACTGAGGAAACAGGATTCCATTAATTTTCCAGAAACAGAGTCCCTGAAAAACCGGAATTGAAACCCAGGAATTCTATTCCAGAGCCAAGCCTTAATAAAATGAGATACCTGAGATTGTGAGACTTGCTATACTAAAAATATCTACTTTCTCATTTTTAGTCTTTGGACACATGTAGAATTATTCAGTACATAATATAACAAAGGTAATAGTTTTTAAATATCTGTTCCCAGAAATATTTCCTTTAGCTCCAACATTTTTAATGGCATGTTCAATAGATTTTTACGTATCTTCCATGATTTTTCCATTTTACTCTCAGTGGAGATGAAATCCTTTGTATTCTTTTGACAGCTATTCAGTCCTAAAAAGGATAAATATTGTATAGACAATATTTATCATGAGAGTGGGGAAACAACAAAGTGGAGGTAGAATATTTTTAAAAATAAGAATATTAGGTGATGGAGATTCTGGGATGGTGGCACTGGTGTCTGTATAGTTGTTCAATCTAACCAAACAACTATACCAGGAGAGCATGATTAAATAGCAAAACAAAACAAATGTGTGAACAGCATTTACAAAAAATTTAGATTACAAGTTAGCCCTAATATCCCAAATTCAAGTAGACAACAAAACACAAACCTTTGTACCTCGATCAAAACCCACAGTACATTAGAAAATAAAACACAGTGAAGTCAACATTTTAATTTTATTCATCAAAAATTCATTGTGTAAGTGGCAACCCTGGAAAAGGGGAATCTCAACTCAGGGGCAAAGGCAGGCCGGCCCTTTTGAGGGAGAAGGGGCCCTGGAATCAAG